TCTGTCTGTCTCTGTCTCTCTCTCCTCTCTCTCTCTCTCTCTCTCTCTCTCTCTCTCTCTCTCTCTCTCTCTCTCTGGTCAGGTTCATTCTCTTTGTCTTATTAACTAATCTAATATATGGACTGATGGACTGCAGTATCTCTAAAGGATTTGGCTCCGATGGCCCAGAAATGAAAAACAAGCAATAAAGCCATGGGTGCAAATATGGGTAGCCTTGAGTGATTTTGTGTCCTGAAGTTGCAATCTTTTCAAAAGTACAATTTTAAAATCACAAAGGTCCTTGTCTCCCTCCTTTTCACCTATCTTTATTCCATCTCCCTACCTCAATCCCACAGCACTCAGACCACACACAACTACACCAGAAACATTTTAATGCCACAGAGAAATCTGAAAGCTGCATTCATCCCCTGGGGTCATGGGACCCAGGCTGTCCCCACAAGGGGCCATCATCCAGGGCGACTTGTGGGCATGCTTTTGTCCTCTGCCCTCAATGACCCAGGCTCCCATTAGAGCCAGGAAATAGAGGGGGAAGTGGAAAAGGAGTAGGAGGAGGCGAGTCTCTTCACGGTACTCTTCCTGTTCTGGGCTGGTGATTCACCCAGAGGGGTTTGGGAGGGACAATCCATGGGCTAAAAAGCCTGGCTCTGGAAGAGGCAGAGGGAGGGGTCCTCTGCAGGGGCCAGAAGACTCACCAGCAGACGTTACCAGAGGGGGCCCTCTTCCTCCCTGGCTTCTGACCCCCTTCCTGGAGTACACTTCAACAAAGCCACACTTCTCTCTCAGTGCACCCTTCATTTTGGGCCCTTCTTAAGTACAACATTGTCATACTCAGTCCCCTGTGGCCAGCCCAAAGCAGAAAAGTCCTTCTGAGAGCTACTGGGGCCTCCATCTGCTGTGGCCTTCCTCCTCCATGCCTGCCCCCAGGACTCCTGTGGGGTGTCATACAAGGACAGGGTGGCCATGCCCTCAGGCTCATCATATATGTGGTCAGGTGCAGGGGCTGAGGGCTCCTGGATGCTGTCATACAAAGGGTCTCCCCGGAGTGGGGAAGGGCCTGCCAGGATGCCCGGCAAGCTCTTAGTCAGCGAGTGGGCCACTGCATCAAAGGGCACGGCATACTCGCCCTCAGGGGCCCGTGAGCTGGCAGGTGCCCGTGTGCTGGCCAAAGGCTGCGGTGGGAGGGAGTCATGGGGCTGGGAGTAGGGGCTCTCAGGCTGGGGCGGCTCCATGGGCACTGCGGGCGCTGTAGCCTGTACAAGCGGCGGCCCGGGAGGGGCTGCATTCTTCTGGGCAGCAATGGCATCTTCAAGGGCCAGGAAGATTTCGTTTCCTTGCCGGGTCTCAAACTCAAAATTGCCCTCTCCAGAGACACAGCGCCGGCCAGCCTCGAACGAGAAGGTCACCTGCAGCAAGGGGAGCTAGGGGTTACTGACAAGCCCCAAGACACACCTGGCCTCTACCAGAACTGTCTGAGCCTTCCCCAAGCCCTCCTGGTCATGTTTTCCCCTCCTTTGTCTTCATTTCTCTCCCTCCATCCAAGTGTGGAGCTGGGCGTACAGGTCATCCTTGGAAACGCCAGTCACGCATCCTCCAACATCTCCCTGCCTCTCTTCATTCTTCCTTCTCCACCTCCTTCTCGCCCAAGTGCTTCTTTGCAGCTTCACCCCTTTTCCCTCCCAGCTGTTTCTCCAGCACCTCCTGTCTTCCTCTGGTCCCTTTGCCTGCCTTTCCTCCTCCAGGCCTTTCTCAGCCCTCTGCTGCTCCCTCACCATCTTCTTTCTTGGCTCTCTTTCTATTTTGTGCTGCAGATGGAACCCAGAACCTCAGGTATGCCAGGCAAGTGCTCTACCTCAGATCTACAACCCTGGCCCTTTCCAAAGGTTTTTTTGTTGTTGTTGCTGGGGTGTTTTTGTTTTTGTTTTTGAGACAGATCTTGCTAGGGTGCCCAGGCTGGACACAATCCTCCTACCTCGGCATTCTGAGTAGCTGGTGTTACAAGCATGTGCTGCCACACCCAGATGGACTCACCCGTTCTCTCAAGCTGTCCCAGTACAGCCCCTCACTCACCTTGTCCCGCCCAAAGCGCCGAAGAAACCTGTAGGGCCAGTCATACAGCTGGGTGCCTGGCTCGGGGCCACCCCAAAGCTCCAGGGCGCTCACCCCAGTTCGGAGAGTATAGGCTCCCCGGAGCCTGCACCGCTCACTGGCCTCTGTGGGTCTCACAGTCACGATGAATTCCTTGTGGAGGACCCCTGGGCAGGAGAAGAGAGAAAACAGCTAATGAGAAAGCCTCTCCCTTACTCCCCATGGGCTATTCTAAGTGAGTGTGCTCCAAGGTGTTTAGAAAACTATTATCCACATACCTGTGACCCCAGACTGGATCCTGGCATTCCCCCAAATACCAAGTGCCTCAACCTTAGAAGGCACCAATGCCCTGAGCCACGCTGCCCAATCTTGAGCCCACATCCTTCCTGCTACTGTTGCCAGAGCCACAGCGTGGTCTCCTCCAACCCATCTCTCACCCCAACCAGCTGCTTTGCCCCCAAACCTGCCCTCACATGGTGTTCTGTGTGGTGGGGCTCAGAGAGAAGACAGCGGACAAGGACTCTCGTGTCCCCAACCCAGAGGACACACAGGTACTGGGACCTCTGGGACCACAGACACCTTGCACAACCACACCCACTGAGAAAGCAATTGTTTTGTTCAGACAACAGTTCAGGATCTGACCACAGAGGGTTCTAGAACAGGGCCCTAGCCTACCTGTCCTATCAGCAGGGCCCAGCAAGAAGGGGGGACCAAAGGTATCATTCAAAGCAGGCTGCCCTCCCCACTCCCCCCCCCACCCCCACTCCCATCTTGGGCAAGGCCCGGAAGCCAGCAGGAGAGGCTGATAAGGGGCCAGCAGAAGACAACCACAAAGCAGGAAGACTTGGGGGGCAGCCCCACACCTCCTCCCACAAGAACCTGCAGAGGACAGTGCACAAACAGCCCCCCTCACCTGCGGCTGAGCTGCTATACAGGTCATTCTCCATGCAGGGCCAGCTGCCCTTTTCCTCAGGCCCCAAGGACTCCTTCCTCTGCCCCTAGGGGGGAGGTCCAGGTCTCACCATCAGCGCCCATACTCAGGCTCCCTCTGGCCGCAGCTTTTCTTGGGCACATGCCTAGCCTGCTGGCCCTGTCTGCCCCTGGACTGGGGTTCCCCTACCAAGGAAGTACCCTGGTATCCTGACCTTGACTCTTCCACCGCTTGCCCACAGGAAGTATCTAGCACTCCCCTCCCCTGTGTGTTGCCACCCCTTCTGCACCCCAGGGTGACTCACAGGGAAGGCCAGGAGGCAGATGGCCTGCATCCAGTCATCTCGCTCTGCACTGGGTGCTGCCAGCAGGTATGGACGCTCCTTGGTCTCCAAGACAAAGGCACTGGTGTCCCGGGGACTGCTGGCCTCCCCGCCCCCCTCGGCCACCCGCAGGCAGTCACTGAGGCGGATGACCTTCCGGGCAGCCTCTCCTCGGCGCAACTTTTCTGGGCCCTCATGCAGCTCCAGCCGGGCCAAGGCGCAGCCTGACTCTCCATACAGCACAGCCGAGAAACGGCGCCACTTCTGAGCCAGGCATGGGAGAAGGGCACCAGGAAGGGTCACCAGGGAGGGAGAGATGGTGACCAAAGGGGAAAAGAGAAGCCACCGGAGAGGGACTGGGGTGGCAACAGAGATGGGGAGAGGGAATGATCACAGTACAGCAAGTGGCAGAGCTGATAGCAGTGACTGGACTGCAGGGATTCCAAAGCTGGAGCAGAGCCTGGCGTGCCCACAGAGATCTGCAAGGCCAGCAGAGAGTGCCCAGGACATGGAGAAGCACACCATGCTCCTCAGGTATGCAGACTGCAGGAAGACAGGCAGGTGCTAGGCTAGGAGCACCGGGAGGAATGACAAGAATGACCCTGCCGAGACACCATCCTCACTGTGGAAGGGTCTGAAGGAAACCCTGGCCCCAGGAACTTCCCACTCCCCTCCTTCCACTTCACTCTTCTTTTTTTTTTTTTTTTTTTTTTTTGTGTGTAGAACCAGGGATTGAACTCAGGCCCTTGCGTTTGCCAGGGAAGCACTTATTCCACTGATCCATCTCCCTGGCCCCTCGCTTCACTCTTGACAGACTGAGCCACGAGGAGGGAGCAGGGAGCTGCCTGGGCGTGGGTCAGTGAGGGGAAGGACTTCCTCTTTCTGAGAGGGCAGGGAAGCAGGAGGTAGGACCTTCTGGGGCCCAGGCTTAACCCAGCCAAGGCCTCCCCACCAGGGTGTGACATGGGGAAGAAACCCCTACTAATGCTGAACTGTGCCACAACTCTTCCCTCCAGTCTCATCCAAGCTGTCCCCATGGGAAGCCAACACAAAGCGGGGGACCCAGACAGCACCCTCCTTCCTCCCCCATTTGCACACAAGGACAAACAGCTCTCAGCAGCCAGCAAAGAACACACTCTGGGGACTGCTTTGAGGCCTGGCTTGGGACACAAGCATCAGTAAGAAAGGAGCCCTCCCAAGGGCTCGTCCAACCTGGTGGCAGGCCTGGCCCTACAAGGGTTGGGTATCACATACCCCTCCACCCCAGGAATTTCTGGCAGTTCCCCTGGTGGCACTGGCTCGCTGGGCCCAGCCCCAGCCTGGCCTATCTCTTACCTTGCCGAAAGTCTGCTGCTGCTGGAGATGCAGAGAGCCCTGCTTCACAGCCACCTCCTCCATGCTGACCATCCCAGAGGGCCTCCTGCAATCCTGCTGTGGCTCTGGCCCTCCTCCTCTCCTCTCTCTTCTCCGCCCGCGTTCCCCCTTCTCTCAAGTTCATTTCCTCTCTGCCTAGGGTTTTCTGCACTATTCTAGTCTGCTTGATGACGACAGGCAGATAGGCCCTGTGGTTTCTTGCTGTGTTCTTTTTTTTTTTTTTTTTTTAAGAGTGAGTTTCATGCTCAAGCTTCCTGCATTTCCAGTGAGTAACACACTATTTCCAGAAAAGCAAAATTCAAGCACTTCAGTAAGGGACAGCTCAGGTGCAAAAGCTCATATGTGGAGTGGCTAGCCCACAGGAACAAAAAAAAACAGAAACCAAATTAGACGGTAAAACTAGTAGCACAGGCTCAAGCTAGGGGCCAAGCGTGGCAGAGCTGGAAGAGACCTACTACAACTTACTAACTGAAAAAGGGGGAAAACTGAGGCTTGGGAAAGTCTGAGGGACTCCTTTAAGACTACCAAACCGGAACCCAGGTGTCTCAACTGAGAGAGAGCTGAGCCACATGCACAGCACTGCACCCAGAGACCCAGGGAACTTCACAAGTGTGCACCCAGCCCGACACCACTTCACACGTACACAGGTGCACCTGTTCCACCTGCCCTTCCCTGCCTGCCCACAATGACACGCTCAGTCTAAAATCCAAACATGCTCTCTGGAGAAGGGACGTACTCCCCAAATACATCTCAACTGTTAGATTTCACCTTGCCAACCCTCATAAGCATTAGAAAGACTCTCAGGGTCCTTTGGATTTTGTTTTTTTTTTTAACTGAGAATTGAATTCAGGACCTCTGCACTGATCTACAGCTATAACCTTCAAAATTTTTTGAGTCAGGGCCTTGCTAAGTCACTTAAATTTCCCTGGCTGGGCTAAAAGGTGCAATCCCACTGCCTCTGCCTTCAGAGTGCTGAGTTCACAGGTGTGCACCATCACACCTGGCTCCTTGTTATGGTTTGTGTCTAGTTGTCCCTGCAAAGCCTCATTCAGTCATAGGGTGGGGACTTTTGAGATTAACTCATGATCCACTGGGATTACGGGTTTTAGTACTGCTGGGATTATGCGTGTGAGTGCTACTCCCAGCCTGGGGCGGAGAGCCTGAATGCAATGTAAGGGAGACAGACTTCATCTCTGCAGCCATTGTTGCTGCTACTCCTCCATTTTGCTCTCTGCTCTTTGCCACCGCCATGAAAGGTAGCTCTCTGTGCTGTACCGCTCTGTCTTGGAGCCAGCTGAGTATGGACTGAAACCTCCAGTGACTGTGAGCTAAATAAACCTCTCCTTCCTTCATTTTGGGTGTTAGGTATTTGTCCCAGCAACAAAAGAAGAGTAACTGAGATACTCCTCTAGAATTTAATTTAAATTACAGTAGCCTCATAGTTCCTAAAGGTCTAGTCCCATTTCTGAATATGCATTCATATCATACTTGGATTGAACCAAGAGCCTTGAACTGAGCTACATTCTAGCCCTTTCTATATCTGAAATAGGGTCTCACTATATTTTGAAATAGAGTCTTACTAAGTTACTAATTTCCCTAGACTGAGCTTGAGCTTTTGGTGCGCACCACATTCCCAGTTCAAACCCACCCTTTCATCAGCCACACTATCCCCTGACAAAAGGCAGGGAAGGGAAGGACACACCGGCTTGCAACTTGCCTAAGATCAAGCAGCTGGGCTGAGTCACACAGAGGTGGTTCAGGGAGAGAAGGAAGTAAAGCCCAGGGCTCCCAATGTCTAGTGCAAAGTCTCACTATTGTTTGCCCTCAGTAGAGTCCAGACTCCATGCAGGAAGGTACATTGTTTGGGGAAAAGCCAAGCTCCAGAAGAAATCCACCTTTGAGGCACATGGCTTGCAGAAGCAGTCTGGATAGAGGTTGAGCGCACAACTGGAATCTAAGAATTGGAGTGACGCTCCTGAGGTCAATCTCATTAAGTCTGTTTATACAACTGGGCCTGTTTCCTCTACCACAGGGTTCTGTTGCCTTGGTGGGGCCAGCAGAGCTGTGTACAATTCAAACCTTCACTTTATGGGCCAAGTGTTGGGCTAAAACAGCCGGTAAGCCAGATGGAAGGCTCAGGGGGCTGAGATGTTCCCCTTAGGCTCATACAAAGCCCAGGGGAGAATCATCAATGTTCTCATGGGAAAACGCATCTTGGGAAGAAGCACTAGGATATGGAATGGAATTGGGCTACACTGTCTAGAGCCCTTCGGCAAAGTCAGCTCTGCTTGGAAGCTGCATGGTCTTTGCCTTGTGGGCTAGCAGAGTGTTTAGGGTCACCTTGGGGGGCTTCCAGGGCAGTGCCCTTCACACTTCAGTGTGCAGATCTTGGTAAGAGAGCATGGTGGTGTACATCTATAATCGCAGTACTCTGGCAGGAGAATCAGCAGCTCAAGCCCACTTTGGGCAACTCAGCATATCGGGGAGATTCTGTCACAAAATATAAAATAGAAAGGGCTGGGGATGTAGCTCAGTGTAAAGGCCTTGGGTTCGGGGCCTGCCCCTTAGCTCAGTTGGTTAAGTGGCTGCTTCAACAAAGCAGTCAGCCTCAGGTTGCTGTGGTTTGATCCCCACAACTCCAGCCAGGCACACATGCCCTGAAGGCATTCTGAGCCAGCCCACCCCCCAAAAAAATCCTTCTGGGGGCCTGCCCCTTAGCTCAGTTCTTGCACTTGCCAAGGAAGCACTTACTCCACTGAGCCATCTCCCCAGCCCTAGCTCAGTTCTTTAAGTGGCTGCTTCAACAAAGCAGTCAGGCTCAGGTTGCTGTGGTTTGATCCCCACAACTCAAGCCAGCCAAACCTGCCCTGAAGGCATTTGGAGAAAAAAAAAAAAAAAAAAATCCTTCTGCCTTTCGCAAGGGCCTCAGTTCAATCCCTGGTTACACACACACACACACACACACACACACACACAGCCTTGGATTCAATCCCCAGGTCCTATGGGATGTGAAAAATCTGACATGTAGGTGGGAGGGAGCCCTGAGTTGCTGGCTGCCTGGGTGTAGGCCAGGGCATCTCAAGGAACAAGCCTGGAGGGAAGGTTTCTCCACCACTCAGCTCTCCCTCCCCAAGCAAGACCACAGGGGGGCGCCCAAACCTATCAGATTTCTTGGAAATTATTTAAAACTGGAGGCCTGGGCCCACTGGAATCTAGACACCCCTGCCCATCCATGCCCTGTAGAGAAGCTGGGCAAGTCCTCCTTCTATAGCCATTGTCTGCAGAAGATGTGTAGCAGTACTAAGAGCAACCCACCATCTGTAAAGCTAGCAGGATTTCAGAGGATTGTGAAGTGGAAACACAAACCCATTCAGGGGTCTTCTGTATGACCTTGGGGGAGTCCTGGGAGCAGGGACACAGATATCATGCTGAGAAGTGGGGACCTCAGGGTCTCCAGGAACCAATGGAAGGAAGAAAAATCATCCAGAGGAAAAGATAGCAGTGGTTTAGAGGCGGGGGGGGGGGGGGCCTTGGAATGGACCATTGAGGCTGTTCACTTTCCCTGGAGAAGCAGCGGGGGACACAAAGCCGACCTCAACTTCAAGCCACAGGAGTCTTTCCTTTACAGTGGTTTCTCTCTCCAGGACTCAGAAGCAACCATAGGTCAAAAAACTTTGTAACTTTTTACAGTGATTAGCAACCAAACCTTTAACAGGTAAGGGTTTGTGAGGCTTTCTTTGGGGGCCACAAAGAAAGGAGCAGAGAAGACTGCATCTGATTCTTGGGCAGGCTTGGGAATTAGGTGTCCCCACTGACACTGCAAAAAGTGCACGAGCTACCTATGGGCAGCTCTCAGCACACAGCAAAGTAAGTATAGGGTGGCCATGAGAGAAACGTGGGCCTGAGAAAGATGTAAGACCCAGAAGGAAGCAAGTAAACAAGGATTCCAAAGATCTCATCCCTGTTTCCTGCAACTGTTGCAGGCAGCCAAATTAGAGAGAAATATTATAGGCAGTCAGATAGGGCCAGGCCCACAAGGAGACAAGATGGAAGACAAGGTGACCTGGCAACTCTTGGAAGAGACAGACATTTCCATATGGGCCACACCTGAAGACCAACACAAAAAGAGGAAACACAGCTACATACTTCCCTAGGGATGGGCATTAGGGATTGATATTTTAAATAGGTATCAATCACCTTGAAAGAGCCCTATTGAGTCACTAGCCCACACCAACAGGAGGAGACCCTGTCCCATATTCTTGCCTGCTCACTATGTGACTCACTTCCCCATTTGGTACCAGATTTAATCAATTTTTATCCAGGCAATGATGCTTGTAATCCCATTGGTTGACCATAGATTTGTCCCACCTCTTGTCCACCTAAGTGAGTCCCCATTTTCTCTACCTTAGCCCCACATGATTTTGCCCTATAAAAATAACCTGGAGGGGCTGGAGAGATGGCTCAGTGGTCTAAAGCACCTACTTAGAACAAGGTTGGCAAAGCACAGGGACCGCAGTTCAATCCCCCAGCACCACATGCCAGCCAGCCCCGCCCCCTGGTGGGCAGAACGCCACACACACACACACACACACAATAAATGTAAAATAAATAAATAAAATAAATTTAAAAAAAAAATAAATAACCTGGAACAGACACCTTCCTGGGCAACCTGCTGGGAAGAGGGGGGCTTCTGTCCTCTCTGAGATAGAAGCTTTCTTTCCCAATAAATATTCTACTTTCAACCTCCGTTTGTTCCCAAAATTCAATCTTCAGTTTTAGAGAACACAAACTTGTTCAGGTTGGAAGATCATTTTCCCCTGTAACACACCCATGGCGGCCCTCAGTGACTATGATGGGAGGACTCTTAGAGTTGCACTCCTAGCCCCCTCCTTTCTTCATTTAAGTATACTTATCCTAGGTTTCAGAAACCTAAAGGTACCTGGAGCAAGTTTATGTTCTCTAAAATGGAAGAATGAATTTTAGGAACAAAGGTTATGAGCAGAATGTATTTATTGGGGGGAAGAAAGCTGCTGTCTGAGAGAGGGACAGGAAGGGGGGCCCAACTGGGTTGGACCTGGGAAGCTGTCTCTTCCAGGAACTTTTATATAGGAAAACCATGCGGTGAGGAGGGTTCGAAGGTGGTGAAGACATGGGAACTCACTTAGGTGGGCATGAAATGGGACAAAGCTATGGTCAACCAA